TGGCAGGCCAAGGTGGGCAGATCACCTGCAGTCAAGAGTTTGAGCCCAGCCCGGCCAATGTGGTGAAACTCCATCTCTACTCAAAATACAAAAATTAGCTGGGCATGGTGGTGTGCACTGTAATCCCAGCTACTGGGGAGGCTGAGGCAAGAGAATCTCTTGAACCCAGGAGGTGGAGGCCGCAGCAAGTGGAGATGGTGCCGCTGCACTACAGCTTGGGTGACAGTGAGGCTTTATTTAAAAAAAAAAAAAAAAAAAAAAAAAGGAGCATTTTAAAAGACAAGGGGCTGGGTGCGGTGGCTCACACCTGTAATCCCAGCGTTTTGGGAGGCTGAGGTGGACAAACCGTTTGTGACCAGGAGTTCGAGACCAGCCTGGCCAACATGGAGAAAGCCCATCTCTACTTTAAAAAAAATACAAAAATTAACTGGACATGTTGGCGTGTGCCTGTAATCCCAGCTATTCAGGAGGCAGAGGCATGAGAATCACTTGAGCCAAGGAAGCAGAGGCTGCAATGAGCCGAGATCATGCCACTGCACTCCAGCCTGGGCAACAGAGTAAGGCTTCTTCTCAAGAAATAAAAGCTTGCCGGGCATGGTGGCTCACGCCTGTAATCCCAGCACTTTGGGAGGCCAAGGCAGGTGGATCACGAGGTCAAGAGATTGAGACCATCCTGGCCAACATAGTGAAACCCCATCTCTACTAAAACACAAAAATTAGCTGGGTGTGGTGGCAGGCGCCTATAGTCCCAACTACTTGGGAGGCTGAGGCAGAAGAATTGCTTGAACCTGGGAGGCAGAGGTTGTAGTGAGCCGAGATCGCGCCACTGAACTCCAGCCTGACACCTGGTGACAGAGCAAGACTGTGTCTCAAAAAAAAATTTTTTTTTTTTTTTTAAATAAAATAAAGATAAGGACAAGGGAGTCTCTCTTAAGGTCAAAGGACAGTGGATGTGTCTGAGTCACAGGCGGGCATCAGAAGTGGGTTAGGACCTCTTCAGGTGCACCCAATGCTTGGACGTGGGGACTGGCACCAGCTTCTCTGCCCTCCAACATCATGGCCAGCAGGGTTTTCCAAATACCTCTGTGTTCTGGGTTTAAGTCGGACTTGGAGTTGAGCAAGAGCCACTTGGACTAAAAGTCCCAACATGCCATGGGGTCATACCATACGTATTAATTACATCAACAGTGTGTGGCCAAGGCTCATGGGAGCTGTAGTTTTAGATAAGTGATTGTAGAACGGGTCTAAAGGGTGGAAGATGAGCAGACACACCACCTACCAGGGCATTAGCACATCACTCTTCAGTATCCCTTGCCCTTCTTCCTTGGGAGGAGGACCTTGAGTCAGATGCTACTGAGAGCCATGTTCCTCTCCACCACTTGGATGTTTTCTCCCTTCTCTCCTTCCTCCCTCTCCCCATTACCAACCCCCTCCTAAAAAAACAAAAACAGGTTTCTCAGTCAGGCGTGGTGGCTCACACCTGTAACCCCAACATTTTGGGAGGCCAAAGTGGGTAGAACACTTCAGTTCACAACTTCGAGGCCAGCCTAGTCAACACAGTGAGACCCCACGTCTACAAAAAAAATTAAGTAGCAGGCCATGGTGGTAGGCATGTGTAGTCCCAGCTACCTGAAAAGCTGAGGCAGGAAGATCACTGGAGCCCGGGAGTCTGAGGCTGCAGTGAGCCATGATTGCTTTTCTGCACCCCAGCCTGAGGACAGAGTGAGACTCTTTGTCTCCGGGGGAAGAAAAAAAAATTCTTACAACTCCCATGAGCATGAGGACCCCATGTGGCTATAATTCATGGAGGCCCTGCCCCACAGACTGATGGGATTTGTAGTTCAACTGGCTCTGAACTCCACATCCGACCTTGACCCAAGTCCAGCACGTTGGCTCATGACCCAGCTTGCCTGTGGACATCCGGAGGCTCTGTGGGGAACTGTCTACTGCCTGTCTCTCTGCCCATACACTGAAGAGGCACCAGGTGCCAGGGTGGAGTTTGTCCACCACATAGTGAGTTTCCTTTGTCTTTGAAACACTGGTCCCGCTCATGTGCTGGTGTGGGCACTCTTGGGGGTGTCCACCCCTGGATGACCAAAGCCAGCCGTGGAGGGTGATAAATCCCAGCCCCTTGCAGCCTTCCACCTCAGGGTGATGGAGCTGTTTGTACGAGCTTTGCTCTGCAGACCTGTGACTTTGTTGGGAACTGAAGGCATAGAATTAGCCTTTCAACATCTTGAGCAGCGGATCCCCCCAAAAAACGCTATTCCCTAGATGCCTGAGACCGGAAGAGTGAGACGGGGATGCTGACTCCACCTCCCACTCACCTCCCACCATACTCAGCCTCAGCTCACCTGTGCACAGAGTGTCAGCACTGTCACACCCGGCCCACACAGAGAAGGTGGAGCAGGGCTTGGCTTTCAGCCTCTCAGTGGTGATTTTGGTGTCCTGCATGCTCTTGCTGTTCTCCAGGATGCCCGCCCGGGCCTGTAGCACAAAGTAGGTTTGGACTTGAGGGTCCTGGCCCTGGGGCACTGTCCCCTTCAGGGTGATGGAGCTGGCAGTCCAAGTGACCATCTCCAGATTAGAGACTAGAAGTCAGAATGGGCCGTGCACAGTGGCTCACGCCTGTAATCCCAGCACTTTGGGAGGCTGAAGCGGCCAGATCACTTGAGGTCAGGAGCTCAAGACCAGCCTGGCCAACATGGTGAAGCCCCATCTCTACTGAAAATACAAAAATGAGCCAGGCATGGTGGTGTGTGCTTGGAGTCCCAGCGACTCAAGAGGCTGAGGCAGGAGAAAGTCTTGAACCCAGGAGGCGGAGGTTGCCGTGAGCTGAGATGGCGCCACTGCACTCCAGCCTGGGCAACAGAGTAAGACTCCATCTCAGAAAAAAATAAAATACAAGTCAGAATGGGGGCATCTATTTCAGGTTCTCTACATAGTACGTGAGCCCTCTAGGCACCACTGAAAGTTGCTGCTAGGGAGGTATGCCCGTAGCAAGAGTAGAGCAGTCAAAGAGACGTTTCAAGTCAGTTTGAGCCTCAAGAGCACAGCTCAAGCTGGCTAGGAGACCTGGGCAGAACACACAACCAGGCTAGACAATGCCCTGTCTTACCCACGGACATACAAAGGGTCCAGCTGTCACCTCCAGCACTATTCCTTTCAGCCCACACGATGAAGGTTTATGAGGTCCCAGATTTGAGAGGGCCTCCACAACGACCCCCACCTCTGCCACATTTCTGGTCCCATAGTCCCTGCCCACTGGACCCAGTAGGTGTGGGGGTCTGGGCCCAGGGAAATGTACACCTTAGCGTGACAGAACTCAGGGTCAGAGCCCGTATCCGCAGATCCATTACCCGGCTAGGCAAGGAAAGGAAGGGAAGGGGTCAGGGTTCCTGCAGGATGGTTCTCTGAGTAGCCGTAAACTGACTCAGTCTGCTCTCACTTGCAGTTTTCAAGAATAACTGTAGGATGTGCTGGGAATGCATAAGAAGGACTGGCCAGGCAGCCTGGGCTCCGTTCCCACCTGCCCTAGAAGCAGGATGCCCTTCAATGCTCGAGCCCAGTGACTCATGTTTCACCCAGAGTATAAAGCCCAGGATTGGATAATTTTGGAGGTCCTAGGCTGCCATACAAGTGAGGCACACACAGTTGCGACCCTATCCTCCCTAGGTCACTCTCCTAAGCCTTGGGGGACCAGCTCACAATGGACCCTGGGCTTCTGCTGTCCCTTGCTTCCCATCTGTGAGTAACAAGCCCACTTCGTGTAACTTTTTGTGTGTGGTGCTCCGTCTCACTGGACTCCAGCAAGTTACTAACTAGTGCACGGTGAACCTGCTTCACAGACCACACCCCACAGTCCGTGAGCCTCCAGAGCAAAGGGAAGCACCCCTCCTCCCCACAGCCCTGCTTGCTGCGGAGGAATACACCCTATCAGTGGGGCCCAGAAGCCAGAGGCCTCCTACTCCCTAAGGCTGGGGTGCTGTCACCCCTCGCCCATGGCCTCTGTGAGCATCTGGCTGGGGCTGCTGGCCTCGTGCTTCTGGGCCCACATGGTGCGGTACTGGGTCCCTGCAGCCAGACTCTCCATGGGCACCCTGGCATCTGAGGAGTCACTGGCCAGCAGAGCCAGGAGGTGCAGGTCTTGGGGTCTGGGCCTGCAGGGGCCTCAGGGTGAGGGAGCTGGTGGTCTGAGCCTGCACGACCAGGCTAGGGACTGGGTTAGGAATATGGAGAGTCTTTTGATGAAGTTTGTTTGTAGTTCTTATAATGAGACTAAAGTGCACAGCCTGGTACTTTCTGCAAATGTGCACACACACACAGACACACACACACACGCCCATAAACGTTACTGGGCAGTGGACAGGTGGCCCCTTTTACCTGTAGACATGCTCAAGGTGTCCCTGGGGCCACCTATTCTTCTCGGCCCACACACAGGTATAGAAGGCCCCAGGCTGAAGCCCCTCCACCACTAGCCAGCAGGCTGACGTGCTTGTGTTCCTGCTGGCCATGCCTGCCCCATGGCACTGGACCCAGTGAATGGAGGTCTGTAGGTCTGGGCCCTCGGGGCTGTCCAGCTCAGGGTGATGGAGCTGGAGCCTCCACACTCAGGATTCTGTCTGCCTTGGGGGCCAAGACATGGGGAGAAGACTCTGCGGTGTGCAGGGAAGGGAATCCCACAGGTCTTTCTGGACGTGCAGGATGGAGGATGATGGGGTCACTAACCTGCTGTTGTGGCCTCTGCTGTGATCCAGAGGGCCTGGGGAGGGATCAGACAGGGAATCAGACTCAGGGATGGTCTAACCTGCAGAATCAGGATGAAGGCTGCTGAGTCCCACCCCGCCTCATCCCTACCAGCCACCCCAGTCTGCAAGGGAAGAGGGACCTGGCGTTTTGCCGCTTTCCTAGGTCTTGGTCCTGGCAGGGCTGGAAGGACCCTGAGAGGGTTGTGCGCAGTAGCTCAGGGAGTTCTGCTTTTGAGAAACGCAAATGATAGATCATGAGAAAGCAGACCTTTGAAAAGGCAGACAGGACATGGGGGCCAGAATCACGGAGGGCGGACAGGATGCTGGGACCCCACAGGAGAGCAGCACCCCATCACTCTGGACAGCTGACCCCATAGAGCACAGGGACCGAAAGCCAGAATGTTCCCCAAAACATCAGGGATTATAGGCCCAGCCCCTCCTCCCTCAGACCCAGGAGTCCAGACCCCCAGCCCCTCCTCCTTCAGACCCAGGAATCCAGACCCCAGCCCCTCCTCCCTGGGACCCAGGGGTCTGAGTTGCCAGCTCCCTTCTCCCAGACTCAGGATTTCAGTCCCAGTCCCCAGTCTCTCTGGCATCCACAATCATTAACAGCACCAGGCACCCCAGGACTCCTCATGTCTGCAGGCGCCACGCAGCCCTGGAATCTGCACACCCAGACCCAGTCCCTCCTGCTGCACTTTGCTGCAGAACTTCCTCTTTCCCTGCCTTTCATTAGGTCTGAGTGGGGAGGAGGGGAGGAGGGGAAGAGGGGAGGAGATGACAAGGAAGCAGAAGTTTCAAGCCTGAGTCCAATCCTTCACATCCTCCTCCTGCCTGACCCTTCCTCAGGGAAATCTCTCCTCAGCTTCCGGATCTCCCCACTCCAACTGGATTCCCATCCTCACTTTCCTTCCTGGTCCCCGTCCTCCAGGCTCCCCACCTTCCCTTCCCACCTCTGTACCCTTACATCCGAGAGTCCCTAAATGCAGGTCATGGATGGAGAACTCGTGTCTCTGCTGTAAGAGTCCCTAAATGCTGGCCATGGATGGAGAAGTTGTCTCTCTGCTGTAAGAGTCCCTAATGCTGGCCATGGATGGAGAAGTCGCCTCTCTGCTGTAAGAGTCCCTAATGCTAGCCATGGATGGATAAGTCACCTCCCTGCTATATGAGTCACTAAAGGCACATCATGGATGTAGAAGTCAAGTAGGGTCTTGGAGAGCATCTTGGACCCTGTCAAGTCCTCAGATGCAGAATCTAAAGACCAGAGAGGGACGGCAGCTTGCCAAGGTCACATAGCCAAGGCAAGGAACACACCTGGGTTCCTCCTTCCTATTTGATTCCTCCCCCTTGTCACCCTCCCCTCCTCCAAGGCCCCTCATCCTCAAGCCTCCTACCCTTCTCCCCTGATACGCATGTGACTTTAGTGGGTTGTGTCCCCTAAACAGATATATCCAAGTCCTAAGCCCAGGTGCCTATATAGGTGACAGTACTTAGAAACAGGGTCTCTGCAGACATAGTTAAATATCTCAAGATGGAATCACCTGGGTTTGGGGTGGGCCCTAAATCCAGTGCCCCATGTCCCTAGAAGGACGCAGACACAGAGGAGGCTGCCAGGTAAAGACAGTCATATGAAGACGGGAGAGACACAGCCGCCACAGGCCGAGAGAAGCCAGCGATTCCTGGGAGCTTCCGGAAGCTGAGAGGGCAAGGACGGATTCTTCCCCAGAGCCTCAGGAGGGAGCAAGGGCCGGAAAACACCCTGATCTTGGACTTTGGGTCTCCAGAACTGCAGTAGAGCCCATTCGTCATTTCAAGGCATCTGGTTTGGGGTAATTTGTGACGGCAGCCCCAGGAAACAAACGCAGAGGCTCAACAGTCCTCTTGGCTCGGTTCTGCACAATCCTCACCTTTATCCCCTTGAATGCCCCCCACCAGAGAGCCAGGGAGGGTCCCACTGGGCACCAGGCCTGGTTCATGGGGAGTGACCAAGAGACATCCGCTGCCATGAGCCAAGATGGTTCATCACCACGATCATCGTCCGCATGCCTCTCCCACAGTAACAGCAGCATCTACACTACCATGCTCTCTACTAAACAACGAAAACGACTCAGAGCAGCAGGGAGGGGCCGGCGGACCGTGGGGCCCACAACGAACTTGGAGGCGGGCTGGTGGCTGGGAGGGCCGCATGTGGGCCTGGCTGAGGAGCCAGGGATCTGGAGTCAGAACTAGGGGAAGGCAGCTGGAAACCAGCAGTGGACTCGGAACTCCGTGAATGGTCCTTAAACGTCTTCAGCTGGGAGCAGCGGCGGCGGTGCCTGCGCCTGCAGACAGGCGTGAGGAAGCTTCGCAAGCTTCGCCGCGGAGGATGTTTCTCAGGCTGGGTTGGTCTGGGAGGACCGAGTCCTTGCGGGAGGAGAGGGCCTGGAAGCCAGCCCTTCAAGCTGCCTAGTCAGTCTGTCTTGGGCCCCAGGCTCCTGAGGGCCGACAGTGTGATGAGGAGCTGGGCAGTGTAGTAGGTGGTCATAGTCACCAAGTGGGCGTGAGGCAGGGGATGGGCGAAGGCGTCCCAGGCCAGCACACCATCAGAGAGTGTGAAGAGCAGCGCGCCCCAGCCGGCACTCCCGCCCCAGGCCAGGCCACGCCACAGCATGGCCATCAGGATCAACCCGTAGGCTGCCACGGGCAGGACCATATCCGGCTCGAGGTGCAGCAGCACGAGGATGAGGTAGGGGCCAGAGGCCAGGAAGATGAGCAGCAGCAGGCCCGGCTGCAGGGGAGAGAGCCCAAAGGCACAGAGGTAGAGGAGGTGGGCTGTAGCGAAGGCAGCCATACCTGGGGAGAGGGGTGGGGTGTCGGTGAGGAAGGCTCATTCTGGTATCGCCCCGAGGTCACCCCTCAGGACCTAGGGGGAAGGATCAGCCCAAAGCACCAGCTCCACCCTGGCTGAGCCTCCTTGCAAGCCTCCCTAAATGCAGTGTCGTGTACTTGCTTTGCTCTGAATTGCCGGAAGGCCCCATGCCCTCCGGCCCACCAGCCACCCTGGCCTGTTTGGCCACAAGCACCTAGCATGCCCCCTGCCCTGGAGCCTCTGCACTTGCCCTTGGCCCTCACAAAGACACATGGCACCTTCTTCAGGTCTGCCCAAACGTGACTTACTCAGTGAAGCCTTCCTCAGCAACCCTGCTTCAAACTGCAGCACCTCCAGCCCAGGGTCCTCACTGTCCTCCACGCCACCCTCAGCTACTGCCTTAATACCACCTGCCCACCAGCCCTCGCTGGAACGTGAGCCACAGCTGCGCCCCCAATGCCTCTGACCACCGGAACTCCCACCAAAGTGCCCACCAGAGCCCTCTGCACTCCAGGCTCCCATCCAAATGCTGGGCCTCCCCGACATGGGCATCTGAAAGGCGTCATGGCAGCTTCCACTCACCATGGAGGAAGGCTTCAGGCCAGACGAGGCAGGCGTCCCCCACAGCCGAGCACAGGAGGGCTCCCTGGAGGAGCCGGGTGTAGCCCCTGCCTGGGGACACAACCCACAGGAACCCAGCCAGGCAGAAGATGGGCAGGCACTTGACCAGGGCAGCGACCCAGGACGGCTGGTCCTCAGGAATCCAGAGGCAGAAGTACACACAGCAGGAAAGGGTGAAGGGAATCAGCCACCTGCAGACATCTAGGCACTTTGGGAAGCAGGGAGCTGCTGAGCTGAAACCCAGCCTAGCCCCCGTTCAGGGACCAGGCTGCCAGAACCCAGCTTCCCAGGACCCCAGCCAATTCAAGGGCAGCACCTCCCAGAGCCCCTAGCTGCTGGGGTTCTGGGGCCCTATCCCCCAGCCCCAGGCATGGCTCCAAAGGCTCTCACCTGGGCTGAGCAGTGAGTCTTCAGGGTCGGCCCCACTTTGCCAGCATCCATGCTGGCCTGATACCCTCAGAGTGACCTAATCTGAAAGCGGGTGGCTCCAGGGGGTGGAGGGGAGGGCTCATGGTTACACGTTAACCCAGTGAGCGTCCTGTGGACTCTGCAACTGATAACAGGGCCCGGGGAGATGTCGCCCTCACCCCGGGGATGGCCTTGCCTGGCACCTGTTGATAAGGCACTGTTGGCATAGGGGGTCCCTTATCCTAGCCTGCTGGGACATGGCTTCCTCCTCCTGTCTGCTGAGGGGTGAGGTCCCCAAACACCCATCCCATTGTCCTGGGCCCAGACCATCACAAGAGATGGAGTGCAGAATTCCAACAGCCACCCCTTCATGGGGAAGCAGGGGAGGGGGCTGGCTGGTAGGAACACCCCTGGGCAGATGGGAAGGCGAGTCCCTCCTTCACTTACTGGCCTAGTGGACCCCTCCCTGCTCCATGAAACCTTCCCTCATTCTGCTCAACCCCACCAGGCCCTCAGGGGCTCCACCACAAACACTTCCTCAGTGGACCACAAGGAGGGGGCCCCAAGAATGCAGGGAATAAGCACCCTCTCCTGGTAGCTGAGACAGCCCTAGGTGACCTCCAAATCAGCTGCCACCCAAGTGAGGACACTGTCCTCATGACCCAGCCCACATGGTCCAGTGTAGCCGAGACAGAGCCCTCCTGGCACCGCTCCCCTGTGCCAATCGCTGTGCACCGGCCTACACTTTCACCTTCTGCCTCAAAGACTCAGACCTACTGGGCGCCAGTGCCCAGCCTCAATGCTGGGCTTGGTTACCAAAGGGGGGTAGGAGCAGGGATTTGAGACGCCAATGACGGCTTCTATCCTCCGCCCACGGCCCTGCCCACAAGTGGGGTAGGCTTGGCAGGAACCATCACAGCCAGTGCCTGGCCCAGCCTGTGGCCTCTGCAGCCACAGGGCTCCCTCTGGCAGGACACGGTGTGGGGGCAGACTGAGTTAGGAATACTAGCCGCTGGGGTACAGGGATAACACAGGCTGTCCACCCCGCATCCCAGAATGTACGGTCTGACCAGCAGAATCGTAAACTGTCTTCCTTTATTTATATTTGCAATATGAAATAGAAGCTCGGCACGAACGCACACACACTCACACCAGCCTGGGAGGAAGGAGCTTGGACAAGGCCACTTGGCAACAGGGCTGGGACTCCAGACCCTCAGGTTCTCTGGGGGTGTTGCCGGGGAGGTCCCTGCTCCCCAGAGCTGGACTGGCCTGGTTGAAAGTGCAGGGTCTGGGCAAAGGCACGGCCCCCACTTGGGACCCTCTGGCACCCCCACCCTCGCTGGGCCGTCCCCCATGGTGGACCTGAGCTGAAAGGCCGGGTGTGGGCATGGCCATCTGTGCCTGAGCATAGGACGGCTGGGCACATGGGCGGCAACCTTGGACCCCTACCACCAGCCCCCGCTGGGACAGGACAGCAAGCTGTGCTTCGGGAGCCGCCAGCTCAGCTTGGTGTTCTCACCTTCTCTCGCTCTCCTCCCTCTCTCTATATATAATATATAATAGACATTTCTCTCTCTCCATTCTCTCTATTTGACTCTCTTTATCTTTATTCTAGGAGGCAATGCTCCAAAACTTCTCTTCTCAGTGCAAATGGGGGTGGGTTGGGCCTGTCTCCCTGGCACCGGCCTCCTGGGGGTCCAAAGGAGAGAATGTGGGGGGGTCAGGGTGATGAGGGCAATGGGGGCCATCATGGGACCCGCCCTGCCCCCACCCTGGGAGATCCACGGGAGGACGGAAGATTTGGCAGCTGCTGCCACACCAGGCAGCTACCTGCAAACAGAGAGAGATGTCGTGTGAGGGTCCAGCAGGCCCAGCCCCACCTGCCCAGCCCCAGGCTGCAGCCACACTCACTGGGAGCCCGGTGATGCAGGCCCTTCCGGGGCAGAGCCATTGGGCACTGGAGGAGGCGTGAGGGCCTGGGCACTGTCACGGGAGGGAGGAGATGTGCAGAGGTCACTTCCTGCCCGCCAGCCTTGCCCTGCCCCGCCCTGCTGCCCTGGTACTCACCTCTGGCTTTCGGGAAGCCCCAAGGGCTCTGGGCTCTTCTCCCCATCTGTGGTCTTTGTGGGCTGGTGGGCCCCGGAGGCTGGGACAGAGGTAGAGGGGTCTCTGGTTGCACTGTGGGTGAGAAGCAGGTGAGGCTGTCAGCGTCACCTGCCGACACCCTCACACCCGTGCCAATTTCAGTTGGCTCACTGGGTGTCTGCCACCTGCCCCACCAGAAGGGGCCTCCCGAGGAAGCAGCTGGCTCAGCGTGGAGGGACTGCACAGCCCTGGGCAAGAGGACAAGCACCTCCCTTCATGTTCCTGTCCCTGTGGAAGAGGCAGTCAAGGCCGGCTGAGACAGCCCCAAGGGGCCTCCTGCATGCTCTCACCTTCCCAATCCTTCACACCCTCCAGGGAGCCTTTCCCAACCCTGGGGGCCCTAAGCATCCCAGGCTACTAAGAGAAGAACCAGCCTGCAGAGTGCAGGGGGCTGGGGCACAACGTGAGGCTGGGCCTGGGGTCCTGCAAGGATGACCTGGAACAGCTCAGGGACAAGACAAACCCAAGCCCACCTCACTGAGGAGGAGAAAAGACTTCTGATAGCAGCCCCTCCCCACAGCAAGCCCCACCTCATTGCTCACCTGTCCGAGGAGTTGGGGGCAGAACGGATCCCGTGGAAGGTAGCCTGGAGGTCCCCGACGCTGACCAAGGCCTGGCAGGGGGCTGTGGGGGATGAGAGTTCTCAGCCGCAGCCTCCCAGCAAGCTCAGAGCTGGCCAGGCTGCTCTCTCTGCCCAGGGCCACAGGAGAGCAGGGCAAAGAGGGGCTTACCTGAAGGCTCCACGACTTTGCTGCCGTCCATGGCTTCCTGAGGTGCTGAGGGGTTTGTGGGGTCCTGAGACCTGGCAGGCGAGAGAGGCAGCCCAAGGGGGCAGCTAGAGTCAGCGCTCAGGCCTACAAGAGCACTGGGATGCCATGACCACCTCCTGGCCTCCTGATACCAGCACCATCCAGCCCGTCCCATCTGGTTCTCACCTGAGCTGCAGGGCATCATGAGCTGGAGGGCTGGCCAGGCTCTGGGTGGGGAAGCCCTGGGGCACAATGAGGGGTCCCTGTGGGGCTGGAGGCCCAGTGTGCAGCTCTTCCTCCCCGGAGACTCGGGGGCTGGTCAGGGCATCCATAGGCACTGGGTCAAAGGTGGCCGTCCAGCCGGGGCCTGGGGTAGAAGTGGGGGGGCAGAAGAGAGGGTGAGCTTGGCAGCAGGCTGACACCCTGTGGACACCTGACCACACCGCCTGTTCATTTACCTGGAGGCTGAGGACCGGGGCTGGGGTAGGACAGCGGGGTGGCCCCTCCACGGGCTGCACAGCCAATGCCCTCCTCGTCTTCCTCCTCCTCCTCCTCCTCCTCTTCGTCCTCACTGTCTGTGCTGCCTCCACTCCTGCCCCAGAAACCACCTCGTCAGTTAGCTGTGTGGGACAGACCAGCCAACAACCATCTGGTTCCCTGCAGCCCAGGATCAGCCCAAGGAGAGTGGGCTGGAGTGACCAGCAGGGAGCCTCGGGCGTGACGACACCAGGAGAGGCTGGGAGAGGGAGTTCTGAGCCAACAGCGAGAACACGAGTGCGCAGGGACTGAATGCAGCTGTAAGGAGAGATTTGTCCCCAAATCATCCACACAGGGTAGGCCCTGGGGAAGTGGGCTGAGCAGACAGATCCGCTCAGCTGCTCTCACGTCACCTCCTAGCCATCACCTCCCACTGTCACCAGAGTGACAGGCCTTCCCACCAGCAGACCCACCCTCTGGACAGAAGGCTTCACACTACTCTCTCCCTCCAAATAGAAACTCCAGGAAGGCAGAGATCGCTGACTTTTGCTATTCCTAGCCCTGAGAACACCACCAGGCACTCATAGCTCCTCCAAAAATACTGGCTAAATGTTGACTAACACACACCTTGTGACCATGAAGAAAACCCAAGCAATCAATGTGTTGATCAAATGGGGAAGGGGTAAGCAAAGTAACATTAAAATTAGGCTTTAACAATGAGGGTACATTCTGAAAAATGCATCATTAGGTGATCTCACCATTGTGTGAACATTCTAGACTGCACTTAGACACACCTAGATGGTAGCACCTACTACACACCCCAGCTCTATGGTACAGCCTACTGCTGCTCGGCTCCAGACCTGTACAGCATGTTACAGTACTGAATACTATAAGTAACTATATGTATCTAAACACAGGAAAATATACAGCAAAAAAACTGTATTATAATCTTATGGGACCACTGGTCCATCATTGACCCAAAGATGCAGTGTAGAACTATGTATTTTGTCTAAAAATACTGACTACTTAACTGACTACTCTAACTGGAAAGTAATATATCTGTATATAGTTAAAAGTAAACTAAAATATTCAACAACCAAGGAATATAAGGGAAGCCCCTCAACCTAAGGGATATACAAAACCCCACAACTAACAGCACACTTCCATGGCAAAAGGCCAAGTGGTTCCCCCTAAGACCAGAAACAAAACAAAGATGTCTTCTCTTGCCACTTTTTTTTTTTTTTTTTTTTAGCCCCCACTACGTGGGAGGGGATTCCAGCAGAGAGCTGGAAATCCCGGCTCTTGCCACTTCTGTTCAACACTGTACTGAGGGCTAGCCAGAGCAACCAGGCAAGAAAAGGAAATTAAAAGCACCCATATCTGAAAAGAAGAAAAATGATCTCTATTCATATGACATGATTCCGTACATAAAAAATCCTAAAGATTCTACTAAAACTATTAGAATTCATAAATCAGTTCAGCAAGGTTGCAGAATACAAGATTAACATACAAAAATCTCTTGTATTTTCATACACTTGTAACAACCTGAAACAATTTCTAGAAAATTCCACTTACAACAGTATCAGAAAAAAGAAAACACTTAATAAATTTAACAAAAAAATACAAACTTCATGCTCTAAAATCCACAAAACATTGCTGAAACAAATTTAAGACCTAAATAAAAAGATATCCCATGTTCACAGATTAGAAGACACAATCCCTTTAAGAACCTTAACTGGCTTCTTGGATGAAATTGACAAGCTGATCCTAAAATTCACATGGAATCTCAAGAAATCCCAAATATTCAAAACAATCTTGAAAAAGAAGAACGTGGTTGGAAAGCTCAAACCTCCCATTTAGTTTATTTAGAGACAAAATTTTGTTCTTGTTGCTCAGGATGGTGTGCAATGGCACAATCTCAGCTCACTGCAACCTCTTCCTCCCAGGTTCAAGCAATTCTCCTGCGTCAGCCTCCCAAGTAGCTGGCATTACAGGTGCCCAACAACATACCCAGCTAATTTTTATATTTTTAGTAGAGACGGGGTTTCGACATGTTGGTCAGGCTGGTCTCGAACTCCTGACCTCAGGTGATCCACCCGCCCTGGCCTCCCAAAGTGCTGGGACTACAGGCAAGAGCCACCACGCCTAGCAAAACTTCAATTTTCAAAACTTACTGTAAAGCAACAGCAACCAGACCAGTGTGGTACTGGATAAAGACAAACACAGAGACTGATGGACCAGAACACAGAGGGAAGAAACAAACTCTCATGAATTTGGTCAAATGATTTCTTTTTTACACAGGTGCCAAGATGATTCAGTGGAGAAAGGACAGGGT